GTAGCAATCGCAGTCTCCGCCGCAATGAATTCTGACCCCTGAATGACAAGTTGTACAGCCGTGAAGACGGCTCGCACAGCGTCGAGAGCTGCGGTCGTGGCTGATTGCTCGGCATATTTGGTGGCTTTCTCTGCCAACAGAACCGGCATATCCACAAGAGTCGCTTCCTTGAGACGGTGGTCAATGTCATCCAGATCGTGGGAAATTTGATCAACCGCAGCAACAGCTTCGTCCAAACTCTTCCTTGTCTGCTCTAGATCAGAGCGAGCGCTACCAAAACTCAATTTGAAGGCATTGCGCTTTTCATTGAGACCACTCTGTGCCTGGCGAACTTTCTCCTCGCTTTGAGCCTGTGTCTCCTGGAGGCTCGTCTCGGCGAGGTGAGTAGCAACGGCCGCGTCGTGACGTGCTTGATCGAGATTTGCCATGGCAGCAACTACGACATTGGCGTACTGTAGTTCTGCTGTCGCGGTGTTGCTCTCGAGCTGCTGCTTATAGCTTTGTGCCTCAGACTGGGCACGACCCAGCGTCGAAACGATTTCTTGTTCCTTAGCCTGCCACCTCTGCCTGGTTTCATCGAGGCGAATGCGAGCCGATTCGACGGTCGCTCTGGACTCTTTCTCCCTGCCCGACAAAATCCTCTTAGTATCGCCAAGGTCCGCGTGATTGCCCAGCGAGTTAATCTGCTTATCGAGCATCCCAATTATGTTATTAAGTATATGTTGCTCCATCAGGCCATAGATTGAATAATCGGCGTTTTTGAGTGATGAAAGATTTTTGAAGTCGACATCGCCGGTCAATTTGGCTTTGAGCTTGAACTTGAACCAGTCTGACAGCGATACATCAACCCAGAAATCAAATTTCGGCTTAGGATATGCCTGAGCCTCAAGGTGCAGCGCGGCTGACAGTCCCCAGAGGTCTACAGCACCATCGATGAGGACCTTTTGTGTCGACGATGACAGCTCGATATCCACGATGGGGTCTTCGCCGGTAGCTCCTCTGACCTTGACCGGTCCCAGCTCAAAGTGCTCGATTGTGGCCATGATCTTGACCATTGTGCCGATCGTACAGTCGAACTTGGCCCTCTTGCCGAAAATAGTCATATCGCCCTTGAGAGACACACCTGGTGCATAATATGTCTCGCCAATCGAGGCGCCAGTGGAGAGGTACAACTGAAAGTCATTGAAGTGCAGGAACCCATCTGGCTCCGGAAATTGATACTCGCAGATCTGGGAAGCGAATTTTACAAGATCGACAACGCCCAGATCTTTCACGGCTGCGACAAGGATCTGTTCCTTAGGGTTTTGACTGAGCTTCATTGCGAGTTTGGCCTCTTTCTTTCCGATCATGATTTGCCCCGCTAGACCGATAGAGCCCGGCATACCTGTCGTGACGAAGGTAGAATAGACGATGCCGAAATCAAGGGCGCATCCCCGAACAGTTACTTGCTTGCCGATATCACAGGGGTTTGTCCAGTCTGTCAACATCTGCGCATATGCAGCCGCGCCGGAATAACTTGCTTTGAGGCCTAGGGAGAACTGGAGAGGCTTGGGTTGCGTTTCAACTTTGACGTTGAGGAGGGCTTTGAGAATCATCTGGAACTCGAAATCCGTCTTTGTAATCTCGATTGCGAGAGGACCAGTGTAGACGTGCTCACCAAAGGTTATGGTGCGGTCTGAGGGGAAGATCACGCTCAGGGCAAACTGCCCATCAACTAGAGCAGCGCGAAACACCATGCCCTTAACGCTGCCCCGCATGAGCTTCTCGAGCTCGGGAATGCTGTCAATAATGGCGCAGAATTGAAAGCCTTTGGCGACCGGATAGTTGATTCCTTTGTAGGAGCCCAATGGAGCCTCGTGGTTAGACGCTATCAAGGCCAACCGGTTCAGTGAGATATCCAGGAAAGTTCCTTTCAGGTCGGGAACAATTTTGCTTGTCGTGACATCACCTTCGACTTCTCCATAGATGGTCCAGCGAAAGTCACCCTCCGAGGTCTTCTCGGTGTGCAGCGCAGCCTTGAGCTCTACACCGTGAATGTTGACGTGCCCGAATATGTCGACCTTAGACGCTCGAGCGCACTGTGTCTCGAGCTTGCTGGCAATGAAGACATCTAGCGATGCGGCCTTGATCTGAACATGCTCGAACTCGATGTCCCCAACTCTACCTTGAACAACGATACCATCTCGCGAAAACTCCAGGCAACCACTCGTGGATGTATGGCCATTGACGGTCACCTCTCCTCGAAGCGCGAATCCGTTTGATGAAATGCATAGACTCATGGAGTTTAGCGCAACATCGTGGGAAAATGAGTCGATCTCTGTTCCGATCAGCTCGTGGAAGATCTCGCCAACATCGTGCAACGTCAAATCGCCAATATACGCGTCGAGGGAGTAAAAATCTATGCATGGCAAGACTTTCATTAGATATGATACTTCTCTCGAAATATGTCGTGAGGGTATGTTGGTACCTTTTGAATAGTAACCGCGAACGCCGATTTTTGTCTTCCTCAGTTCCAAATTTGCCTCGATTCCCACCGAGAATGTCTTCTTCTTGGCAGAAGTCTGGATTACAGCCTCTAAGGAAACATCGGACAGCTGGGTTAACGAGGTACAGTCAGTTATATTCCAGTTTCTATGGTGAAAATGGGTACGAATCGAAGCATACCTTCAAGCCCTTGATGCCAAAAACGTCGTCCCATTCATCGTCCTTGAGGCGAAGTTGCAAACGCCAGGAATGAAGTGTTTTGCGGAGATAGTACTCAACCTGTAGAGGTATAACAGTACCAGGAACGCTGAGATCCAGCTTTCCGAAAAAGCCATAGCCAAATTCCCAGGTACTTCTTCCTCTATCAGAAAGACTGTATGTCTGATATCCGTTGAGCTCAATACCAATTTGTCGAAACTTCAGGATGTCCAGCACGTTGACCGAAACATGGTCTAGAGAGCCACGCAGTACGAAGGAAGGCGGGCTTGGAGGGAAGGCATAGTCGCGGAACCCATCCAGCCAAGCGGTGAAGCGGATAGAGGGTGTATTCTGGTGGAAGAAGTCCTGGAGGAAGTCCGAGACTGGCTGTAGGGCTCCTCGAAAGACAAAATCGGTCTCGAAGTAAAGCCCTTTGGTCCGGCTCAAAAGGCCATCTAGCATGACCTCCTCTTGGAATCCCAGTATGGGATTCTCGAGTGATATCATATCCCATTCGCTCCCTTTAAGAGAAGGAATAAAGGTGCCCAGCGAGATGGGCCGATCGGGCGAAATTCTAACCTCCTCATTGTATGGGTGTAGTAGGCTGCCAGCGTGCTCGTACACATAGATCCTGGATGGAATGAGGCCAAAAAGCTTTAGATCGCCTACATAGGCTGAGTTGGATAACCCATCCAGGCTAACTGAAGCGGCATTCTTCAAGGTAGATTCTTCCGGGAAGAACGGGTTGGTGTCTTTTGGTAGAGGCGAAGGATCCGGAGTAGGTAGTCCGTGCTCCGAGAAGGAAGCAGGAGTTGGACCTGAATATTCGTCCAGTAGGAGCCGAAAGGTCATCTCCTTGCCACTCGAATCAAAGGCAACTGACTGCAGGTTCGTGACCCAGGCTCCTCCAATCTCGAATCCGGGGGACGAGCGATCCTGTCCGATGCTCCGAAGAAGTTCTTGGTCCACTGTACCGATGAGCGAAGATGCGGAACCTTTGATAGAGGTTTTGAGCCCTTGAATATCTCCAGTGAGAGCTTCTTGTTTCATTGCTTTCACAGGTGGACTGTCGTCATGTTCACTACTGGATAAAGAGCGCTTGCGTTTCAAAAGAATGTCGAGATCCATAGCTGAATCCATGACTAGTCAAGTAAATCACGTCTGAAGTCTAAATGCAGTGTGAGAGAAAGAGGAAAAATGTCTTCTCGGAAACTTGAAAGTGCTTAGGGAGACAACACGGCGACTTGCAATAAGTGACGAGGGGACGACATGATATGCTCGACAACATAAGTAAGCTTCGAAAAGCCAAAGTTGGACGTGGCACACGATTTCTAAGCCAAATGTTGCATGTGGTAGCTTCATCCTCAGCTAGGGAGACGATTGCCGGATGCAGAATGCTTTGCGCGAAGAAAGCTGAATGACCGAGTATCCGAAATAAATGTGAACCACGATAACGAAGAGTCTGGCTACAATGTCTTTCGGATATCGTTTGCTGTAAACCCGCGCCTGACATGGTCAGGGCTTCTATTTTGCTTACTTCAGATACCAGAGGATGGGAGAATGATAGTGTGACGCTGTTTGCGATGCTAATGAAAACGCATTGGCATTAGCCTCATCCCTACGCGATACCAAGACTCGAGTCCTTTGGAGCAGCTGGAGGCTCGGCTTCTTGGAGAGATGAAGTCTGAATCAACTCTTTCAATTGGTGACACATAACTTCTTATAAACTCAAGGCAATCATAGGCTCAGATACGAGTGATGTTAATGGCAGACAGCTTCTCGCCACCATTTTTGTTGCACATTTCGCACTTGACAATAAATCCGGCCATGAGTTTTGGTACATGCACTCTGCAATAAGGATAGCTCTTTCTGCTAGGTACAAAGATCTCAGCCCCTCCCCCCCCCCCCCATCATTCTCAGCTTGCGATGCTCAGCCGTTCGGTCTATACAAAGGCCTCAGCCAGCCACTAAACTGCCACTCGCATTATTTTGTTTCAGGCATGGCTAAACAGTGGCCGCTGCCGCCACACTCGTCTCCTGCAAGCAGCGTTGCATCCGAAGCTTACTGTGTTCAGGGTGGAATCGGAGTGACAGGACATTCCGTCTTATGGCTTGAGAGTGTGAGGATGTAGGATGATCGTAATGCCGAAGAGACTTATCCCATCCTCGCATGGTCCATAAGTAGTACATCCAAACTCGCTAGCCTGCTCCTTTGGCGACGTCTGTCTCTGCTTGTTTCCCCAGTGCAAGCCTCGCAACCTTCTTGGCGCAAGTTTGATCTTCACACTAAGTACGCAACATTGACAACGCCGTGCAATATGGAGACACGGAGCCAGAGGAACAAGGGATCAACTTGGAACCGACACATGCGAGGCAAAGAAAGCCTATGGTACTTTGGAACTGAAAATTTTCGCGCCATTTCATTTGTCGCCCGGGATTATTTCGGCCCACAGGTCAAGCTTGACGAAAGCATCGTCTTCGTGTCTATCAAGACAGTGCTCAGCTTAGGTTCTCCCATTTCACACAAACAGAACTGGCAAAATACGGATAATGGAGCAAATTATCAGAAGGAGCAGTAAGACACCCATCATAAACCCTCAAAGAACCTTAAATGACGATTGATTGAAGAGTTTTTGCATGGGCTGATGAAGAGCTCCTCAATGAGGCTCCCACGGACTGGAGACTGCCAGACGAGAAGAAGGCAACAGGGATTCAATTAAGTGTCAGGCTGAGTAATGGAAACGCAATCGAACTACCGATCTTGGTCAAGACCTATCCCAAAACACCTAACAACTGGACTAAATACGTTCGCCGAGTCCTGTCCTTGGGCAGCGGAAATTCCTTCAAGCCGACACGTCAATGTGACATGCCTCTAGAGAGGCCGCTACTCGTAAAGCCGTTAGAAAAGCGTCTGAACCTGATACATCAACGATCCTACCAGACCCTCAACAATTTTTTCCGAGGTTTGATAAAAACTGCAAATACAGTCAACGAACAGAGTAGAATGACGACTGGAAATCGCAACAGGGACTATGGGAAGTGGAAGTTGATGCTTTATGACGACTCGCCTCCGCACCTTGCGCATCAATATATGAAAGTAAGCCAGGTTCTGCTTTATTCGGTCAACAATCGTCTCACCTGACTATTGCACAGATGTCGGAGGCAGATCCGTTCGAACTTTATTCCACTTGGATACACGAAGATGACTGGCACTCTTATATGACGATGCTGGCGGAAACAGAAACAAATCCCATCCGAAGGTTCATATCCCTCAATAATGCGGGTGTTTACAAGACCTTGGATGATCTGTTAATCAAGGTGGGTTCGCGGGACCTCGAGATCCAGGCTGGCTTGTCTCGTGAGGAGCGAAAGGAGTATGGGCTCGATCCCAATCAGGCGGAATTCGACAAAGCCTCCGTAGAAGAGTTAGGCCCAAGGAAGGTATCCGAGGTCATCAGAAAAAGACGACTCCAAGGCATCAAGTCCTACAACAAGACTTACAGATTCGAAAACGGGCAGGCTATCATCGAGGCCGACTTGTCAGTCGCCAAGATGGATGCCGCTTGTGGCATGCGCCCCTCTCAGCCTACTCAGGCCGCAGTGATGGGAGGGTTTTCAGCAAGCAATGTAAGAGATCCGTCCATGATCTAAGGCTCTTGGTAACTGATGTTGCGACAGATAGCGCAAGGCTTGGGGTGGGAAAAAAGCCGGCTTGCTTCTGGTTTCTATTCCAGCGAGGTCAGTAAGAACTTAGTCAGACAATGGCAGTCGTGCCAAGACACTGACACCGGTACCAAATGTATTGCAGTGGCTACATCTATGTGCATTCTCCTTTGGCGGGTTCATGCCAGCTGGTGCAAAATCTGGGTTCTCAACCAGCCAGAACTTGGAGAATTTGATATTTGGAACTTCCGAGACCAACTCCCTCATGACAAGGTACTCTCATATTGTCAACCCCGCACTACGCACATGGGGTTGTCTGTGGCGAATGCCTTGACTGATCCATTTGCAATGTACAGATACGAAATGGCCTGGCAAAACTTGTGCCGCGAAGAGCAGAAGATCGAGAATGAAGAAGCCAAAAGACAAGGAAGGAAGCCACGTTCCCTGAAGGGACAAGTGAGCATCCACTGCAACAACTTCTCCAAGCCCATCCGGTACGATTGCTATGGTTTGGACAATAAGTACAAGTTCGAAGATTTTACCATTCCACGAGAATTTGTCAAAAAAGCGGTACAAATGGCAATGGATAATCAGGGAAGCGAGAACCCGCAACTAATGTGCGCGGGATACGCTGCGAACAATGCCACAACGAGACTTGTTCAAGATACCCGAGAGCGTGAAGATGCCGCTTCCATTGAAGAGATGCTGGCGCTTGCGCACGATTTTCCATTCGTTGTCTACTCTATGGAGTACAAAATCCAAATTGGGTTCCCGTCGAACATCCTGCAAGAGGATAGAACCACGGCCAGCTTCACCTTTTATCCCTTTCAAAGATCACTCTACCATCAAGCCGAGGCGATTCTGGACGTCCTTTTGTGGGAAAAGCTGAAAGAGAATCCCAGTAGCTTGCTGAACGTAGACTTTAGCGAGGAAGATGCTGTACCGAGTGGCGAGGACTCGGGGTCAATTGTGGAGAATGCGATGGCAAGAATAATCGAGGAGGATCTGGAAGAACCGTGCCTAGTAAGTCCAACATTCCTTAGAAGCTGTGTTCGACTGAATACTTAAAATCTCATAGCAAAAATCCAGACTTGAGGCTATCAAAGACAAACGCCGCAGGAGCAGGAAGGAGAACCTCTATTCTGATACTAAAAAACATCTCTTCAAGATTTTAAAAAACCAGGATCCGTCACAGCAGTTGGGGGGCCCTTCCCACATTGGAAACAGGAACAGCGGCTTGGTCAAAGAGCGAGCTTTTCCTTAGGGCTGCAAAATTTCCTACCAACTGCCAGAAGGCGTTAGCGCATCAGTCTCCAGTTCTTCTCCAACTCTCGCTTTTCTAAAATATCCATAGGTGGGCATAAAGGAGATACTGTCGAACAAATGTGTAGTCCTTTATTATCTCTTAGAACATGTATCGAGGGCAACTAGCAATTGGCGGGATAACTTCGCGGTGGGGTGCTCTTCGAGTTGAAACCATTGTATTATTTCACTCAGCGAGAAAGCTGTGCTACACCTTTCACGGGAGTGTACATTCCCTCGTGATCCACCTCGAGAGAGACGTTACTCCCCCTGGAGTCCTCAACATCGATGATCTGAAGATTTCCATGCACTCGCTCAGTCGAAACTCCCACGTGGAACCTGGTGTATGTCCTCAACGAACTCCGATCGAACAGGTCTTTGGAACTCGACGGCTTTACCCTCCTGTTCGCGCCCGAGATCTGGCGCACATACTCTGCTGGCCACGACTCGGATTCAAGCCGTACCGTTTCCGCAACTTCCTCAATTGTAGATCCGAGCGGTATACTCACGACTCGGTTCACCATCCACGACGGCGCTTTATCGAAGATGACAGAGCCACCATACCCGGTCGCGGTGGACATGTATTGGTACTGTAAGACAAGAGCGAGTGTTGCTTCGTAACCATAATGATGCAGTGGGATCACAATTGGAGACGCAAGACCATATGATTCGACGAGTCGTTCTGTTATTGGTAAAACGTCGGGCTGCATTCCATCGGTGTGTTGGCCCCATGTCGACGAGTACGGGGTACCGAGAGTAAAACCCTGGGGCAGCGTCCGGATGGCACATCCCCAATTCGGTGCGTAACCGCGCTCATCTCCGATATCCCGAAACCTGCGCGAGGCTTTCGAGTAGATGAATGCTGAACAAAGTCTCTCATTTACCCAAGCGGTCATTGGAAATTTGAAGAGCTGGTTTGAGGCCCTGTAGTACGACATCCTGTCTGGATGATCAAGGTCAGGTGCGGGCCTTTTGGTACTGTGTAAAGAGAGTGCGATAGTATTGAAAATATCGGTACGGCGGCGGCAGAGCAGAGGCGCCAAGAATGCAGTCGAGGGGGGGCTGTTCACCCACTTTGAAGGTGTCTCTGCGAGCAGTGGCGTCATAAAGGTGATGCCTGAATTTTCGATGCGCACTCGGGCACTGGTAGTGACATGGAAAATGGGAATCACGTCGCCGGAGTACGTAAAATCTTTCGGACTTGACGCGAGGAGTGACCAGCCGTCTAGGGGGCTCGGAATTCTGACCACATTCCCCTCATGCGGGTTCCCCCACGCGAAGATGGACTGGTCGTCGTTGTCCCGAATGATTGCCTCTTGCAGTCTCTGGAAAGCCTTGATCCCTTCCCCGTAGATGAGGGGCATGTTGACATCAAAGATTCCTAGCAGACAGTATGCAATGTCCTCAATTCGGGTTGTTGTCCTTCGTGATGCCCAGCTCATCCGCTCGGCGACACTCGCGCTAGCCAAACCCCTCTCTCCCGACAAGTAGATACTTTCAATCCCCGTCTTCTTTTCGATGACGCCGCGGAAGTCGGTTCTTGGACCTACAAGTGTCCAATCTCGATCATAGAAGTCGAGAGACGACGGAGCAAGGAGCTCCTGGAGCGTCCAACCGCGGGTGAACCACCGGCTCCCCACCAGATCCGACTCACAGTCATCGGCCAGCTCATAGTACACGATGTCGGAAAGGTATGCAAGGCAGAGATCGGCCTCTCTATACCACCTGAACATAGAGTTGATAGCCTCGGAGAGCTCGCTGCTGCTGGCCTTGTCGATGCAGCAGGTATCGATCCAGATCCAGTCATAGCCTCGCTCGCTAGCCACGCGGCATGCAGACTGGATTTTGATCCATCCGGCTTTTTCAGATGGGCTTTTTTCGAGATCGCTGAAGAGAACTTCTTCTTTGCCCCACGTATGCGACAATATTGCGTAAACAGGAGCTTGGCCATTCACAAATTCGTGAAGCGTCAGCGTCTTTGTCTCGAGTAGACGCATTTTCAATGGCGGACTCGATGAATAGGTCACGCTATTGCAGCATAAGACCACAGAGATTGAACCTCAAGTTTGCCCAAGAAGGAGTTGAGGGGTTGTCCGTACCAGGCTATCAGCAACCGATGTAGGTATGCCGAAGCGATGATTGGCTTATTCCGTAGGGGGAATGTCAGCGCCGCAGCCCTGCATGATGCACCAGCACTACTCGGAGAAATGATTGAGGATCGACTAAAAGACGTTCCGATTCATCTTCTATCAAATTCGGCATCGATATTAGCCACAGTGATCGAGAGATGTCTCAATAGACTGGATACATGACGCAGATAGAAGATGCCATGTTGCTGTACGTAAGGAAGCAATTGCTTGTTAGCGAGGGAAATCTGTGGATCATAAGACTTACGACGCCGTGGGCTGTCGAGCAGAGTGTAAGCTCGACTTCAGCAAAAGTAGTCGACAATACCGCTGAATGAATTCCATCTTAATATCAATATTGAGGTTTTTTCATATCAAAGACCACGTTGAAAGGTGTAAATTGATGGAGAAGATGTTTTTGAAGGACTGAAAACAGCCATCACCAACATTGAACCCCTAAGCTGACATAAGGTACCAGCTCTCAAAAGTCCCTTCCCCTCCTCCTACAAGGTCACCAAACGGCCCAAGCTCCTGCCTGCCGCAGCTCCATGAGCTTAAGCACCAAAAAACAAAACGGCAAGTCAAGCCCAAGGAAGCCCGGACCCCGTTACGGCCCCTACTTCCTTCCACCCCGCCAGTCGCCCCTTGGTCCAAGCACCCGGCCCGTGCCCCTCTCCCCCCGAATAGGAAACAACGAAGAAGGGTGAATGGAAGGATGGAAAGAATGCCCCGCGACCTCATGACTGGACCCCCGCCTCAGTGACATTCTCACTAATTCCTGGCTAGGTAGGCACTCTGAGCATTTAATTCGAGGCAATCAATCACACTTTGCCAAGACGTGGGAATTGGGAAATGAGAAACCATAGTAGCATATCTTTTCAGCCCCTAATAACGCACGAGGGACTTATATTCACCACGTCGCCGTCCCAGGGAAACCGCTTGTGCGGAAAGTAAATGTTGAGTGAGGGGTGTCGTTGTCCCATTTGTTCGCATCTCGCATCCCGCATGTCACAACACCAACACCAACATCGCAGCATCTAACCACCAAAATAACCACCCCGACCGCCCTTTAACTCATTCCTCAAGCCCCTACCTCAAAAAAACAATGGGCAAAGCCAAAAAAGACAAACTCGTCATAAACTCCTACACACTCAACCTCCCCTCCACAACCCAACTCCAGCAACACTCCCTAATCCCAAAAACCTACCTAACCCTCCTCAACATCCTCACCATAACCCAACTCCAACCCTTCATCACCTCCTCCCCTCTCACAGCCCTCACCTCCCCAGCCTACTCAGATCCAGACTCAGACCTCTACTCCGGCGCCCACACCCTCCAGCTCCTCGCCTACGTAATCGCCCACGTCACCGTCTCCTACACAATCTACGTCTTCACCTCCCCCGAACACCACGCCGTCCCGCCCAGAATCCAACTCGCAATCTGGAGCTTCTACCAATTCGCCCTCCTCATTGTCGACGCGTCTTTGCTCTACAGCGCCCGGATATCCTGGGGTCTTCAGGGGAACCTCGTGAACCCGGTGCGGGAATGGCGCGGCGTAGACTGGATCCTCGTAAGTTTCGCGCTGATGGCGGCGCTCGCCAGGGTCGCGTTTCTGTTCAGGGTGGGGTTCCCCAAGCAATTATCGCACGAGGAGCGACGGAAAGCCTGGGATGAGCGCAACAAAAAGTTCTGGGATGGTGTGAATAACGGGACCTCCGGCATAGTATGCAATGGTTTATGGGCAGTCATTGTCACAACGATACGGGAACGAACGGACGCGTGTGTTTGACATCGCGTGACTCTGATGCGGTAAGAAAATGAATTAGGGTATCATCAAGTCCAGTCTATCCTCAGCCCATCCCGCCAAAAGCCGTCTGAGAATCCAAACATGATGCCCTGTAATGCTGTCTGCTTCTCCTAACGAGCTGCGCCTCCCTAAAATAGGCTTATTCTATGATCCAAACAATTCCGCGCCGGGCCACAATCGTACAAAACATCTTCTCTCATAACAGCGTCAAGATACCCCAATTAAACCACCTCGCATCATCATCTAAGCCCGAATGCTCCCTTTTCAACAATGAATCGGACGGGGTGTCTTGCTCTTCTCCGGAAGCTTAGCGGCCTTGCCCCACGTCCACCGCGGTTCGTAGCAGCCGGTGTCGGGCTAGGCAGTGGCAAAGGCACCTGTCCCGGTGACAGACCATTACCACCGCGCTCATCGAATCCCCACCGCATAACACCTCCGCTTCGGATCCAATTCTCCAAATTTCGACACTGACTAACGTCCACCCATTGTAGACGACTGCATCCTTCAAGCAGATTCTCGACACCGCCGCCAGTGACTCTAACGCAGCCGCGGACCGAGATGCCCTCCAACTCGTTCAAGTGTAGTGCAACCGACTGCAAGCTGGCATCCGAGACGGCACTGCCGCAGAACGAGAGGCGAAGTTCTCGCAGCTGAGGTAATCCCAAGGCGACGACTTCCGTGGCGGTATCAGAAAGAGCGCAGCAAAAGGAAAGATCCAGGTGTGTCAGGTTCTTGGCCGCACCGACGAGGGCGACGACCGCGTTGTCAGAGAGGTAAGTGCAGTCCGCGAGGCACAGATGAGACAGGTTCAGGAACCGGTACGGAGCCCAAGACTGGAAGCCGGCGTCTGTGATTGAGGTGCATCGTGTCAGGGACAACGATTCCAACCGATTGGACGCATGCGCAGCAAGATGAGCCATCGACCTGTCAGTGATGTGCTTGCAATACGACAAGTTTAGGTGCTTGAGGGCGGGGCAGCCAATGATGGTGCCCGGCTTGGGGATGTTAGCAGCTCTCTGTTGAGCCTGTTGCGTAACAGCCTTTTGAGGCTTTGACTTGGCCGAAGAACTGGATATCACCACCTGCTTGCTGGGCGGTTGGGGTGGTGGCGGCTCGGGTACTACCCAGCCTACGACACGTGCCAGCAAGTTGTCACCAACCTTGCGACAATTGCTCCAGTCAATCTCCTCCAGGCCCTTTGCGTTCTCTGCCATTTCCAGAATCTGATTTGCAGAGACATCCCACACGGATCGCATGCGCCATCGTTTGACATTGCGGCCACAGCTCTCCCAAAGACTTCGGAAACCGTCGTCGGTAATGTGGAAGCAGTTGCTAATGTCAATCGTCTCCGGGCGGTTGCCAACGAAAGGACCAATGACTGTTCGGATGGCCAGATCTGTGACTCTTCTATTATGCTCAGACAAGTCCAAATCCATGCAAACCTTCGGGTGCGTCGTCAACAGCTTCCGCCAATGAGACGAAATGATTCGCGCGTTCATCAGCTCTGCAACATTGAGGTATCGGAATGCTTCCACGAGCAAATCGTCGGGAAGAGCTGGGGTCTGGGCCGGGTGTGGACGCCGTGGCAGTGTCCGGGCTCGCTTGACGGGCGCTTCTTGCTCGGTTGGCGACTGTGGTGGAAAAGAGAAGCGAAGAGGTGTCGACTCAATCTGGTGAGTTCGGAAGCCGTTCGTCACTATTGACGAGGAGTTGTCGGATTGCGGGGTAGGCGGGGCCAGGGAATTGCGTCGCCTATTTCGCATATTCTCCATGTCCACGCTCAAGAAAGGATCAGGGTCCTTGGGCTCCATCGTTTCCACATCGTCCTTTGTAGGTGACGTCGGTTTTGAGGGCGTTGTGAACGTGACGTGCGGTAGAGCTTTGGGTGTTGTCGGTGTCGGAGGATCTGATTTGCTGGTCCTTTCCATGGGGTCTGCATCTGACATTTCAACGTCTTCGTCAGAATTCTTGTATCGCTTGCGAGCTGTCTCCTCAACCTGCGACTTGATGTCAGGTGGGCATCGGCTCCAAAGCGTGTCTAATGCGTCTCCGGGGATCATCAAGCACTCGACCGTTGTAATTGCCCGCACTGTCGCTGTTCGACCCTCGGACAACCCAAGACTGGCCACTTCCCCAAAGTATTGACCTGCTTTTAATCTTGGCCTGAGATAGGTCGCACGAGCTATCTTCTTTGGTGGTTCACTTGGTGCTTCATGAACAACCTCTGCTTCACCTCGAACAATGAAGAAGATCTCGTTGCCGGCCGATCCTTGTTGGATGATGTCTGTAAATGGAGGATATGTCTTTGGCTGGACGCTGAGTCCCAGCTGATGGAGGATGTCGGGAGGTAATGTGGAGAACAAAGGCAGTTCTCGTAATGTTCGTCGCACGTTGACGAAACCACTTCCTAGGGCACTGCCTGCTGCAGGGTCTTCGATGGCGCCAGGACTGGGAGATTTCCGCTTCTTGGAGTTGACGACGGTGCCCTCTCTGATGGTGCCTACTTCACCCGTAGACACCTCACCTGGCACCGGTTCTCTTGCTCCGTTGGCTTGCGTCGAGGCAGGCTTGATGAGTTGCCCGCCCTCTTGGCGCTTCTTCTTGAGAATGTTTAACCGCTCTTGAGCTTCGTGACGAATAGCACGTTCCATATCCGGGAATTTCGGTAACTCGGCCTGGAGGTCTTCCTTCTTAAGGACCACGAGAAGGCATTTTGTCCGAGCCACAATGGTCGCAGTTCGCGGTACGTCCATCAATACACCGATTTCTCCGAAAAAGGCACCGGGCTTGAGTTCTGCATAAATGGCTTCACCGTCTCTAGAGGTGACAGCCACGACTCCGCGCACCAGCCAGTACATTGCTCTGGCATCATCGCCCTCTGTGAGAATGTGGTCCTGTGCAGCATGAACTTGTGGTCTCAAATGGTTTCCGATAGCGGCCAAGAACTCGTCTGGCGCAGACACAAACAGGGGAAATGATCTGATGCGATCAACCAAGTCGAGCGGCATATCGCGGATGGTGGAAGCGGTGAGTGGGGATGGCCGCATAGGGCGGGTAGGGTTCGTATCAACGTTGAAGGACCTGAGGAGTGAGAGGGAATCTGGCACCCCGCCCGCGCCCGCGCCGGCATGGGCGAGGGCGCGGTAGGGTGAAGGTGATGTTGGGGAGCGATTCCGCCTCATGGTCCTTGACGGATGCCGCGTACGTGGTCGTATCGACGCCAGGTTTTCGACGTGCCTTGCCGGCTAAGCTCTCCGCCCAGTGGGAGGGCAGAGGGCCAAAGCTTCAACAGGGCTTCGCCAGTGCACACCCGGTCTGTAGCCTGTGCTCCGCAAGGGCGGCTGGAGGAGGAGAGTCCTCTCCCTGCCTGTGAGCTGAAGCTTCCTCCGATGCTAGATTCCAGCGGTTTCCGTCGGTAGTGTAGACAGCAGACAAGGCTGGTGCATGCTCCGGAGAGGCCGTTTGAAGTGCAGCGTATTGGGTTCGCCGGGGGGAGATGTCAATCGTAGCGGTGTTTGATAATTAGAGACACTCTGATGATTGAGGACCTGTTGTTTGTTTCGCGCTATCTGAGATCGAATATTGCAAATTTCTTCTCAGCGATTCGGGAGTGAGAGGCGGTCGCGTTTGGTTTGAAGGCGGGGTCTTCGGAGCAGCTTTGAGAGTGGGAGGGTCGGGTTGGTCGACAATGCTGAGTGTCGCAGATCGTATCACGTAACGTCGCCGTTGAAAACGGTGTCTCTAGTCGCTTTCGACACGACAATTTGCCGGCAGGATAGAATGATTGATGATAAATGCGGTGACACCAAGTGTCTGCGCAAAGACAGCAACGGAAAGTTGTCGTGTGCTCGGCACCAGATGCTGTAGAAGCTGAGTTGGGGTGACAGTTCTGCTGTGGAAGTCAGGTCAGAGAGAAACACACACGGTCACTTTTTTGCCGCTGGTGATTAGGTAACGGTCAGTAGGCCGGGGAGTACTCACCAAATGTTCGACGGTGTAGGCAAATACAATTGTTGCTGTGTGGAATTGCTCTCGATGCGAAATAAACAGCTCTGTACGCGGGGTTCGGCCGGTTCCAAGGAGCGGATAGGCGAAGGCGAGATGAGTTGCGAGGATGGTGGGAAACGAAGGTGCCGGGGGTGGGTTGTTCGAGGCGGCGGGATCGGAGGCGAGAGGGTGATGTAGGCGAGTGAAGAAGGCGGATGATTCGCAGTCGCAATATTGCAGATCAGTTGAGCCAACAAACGGGCACGGGAATAGGCGATTGGAGGTTGCAATGCGAAGATCTCCAGCAGAAGAGGAAGATAGGAAGACGACTGCTGCAGGAATGGGTAAGCGGGTGGGAGGGGGACTGGGAGGAAGAGAAACGGTGACGGACGAAAAGAGAAGCGGTCGTGGGTTTGGGAAGGGAAGGGAAGGACCGAACTGGGGGGCGACGGGACGGGTGCGAGGATTCCAGGAAGGGACGTGAGCGTGGGCGTAGATGTCGGTACGTAAGGAAGGAGGTACCTTGCCCCTTGGTGTATTTTGGTGCCTTCCATTTGGTACGGAATACATCATACAGCACCTAGTAAGGTGAGGTAGGCAGGTACCTTTTTTTTTGGTGGAGGCGGCATGGGCGGGTGTGGGCGTGAACGTCGCACTGAAGTGGGCGGGTGGGCGTGCCCTGGGTGCCCTGGGCGTGGGCGTGGGCGTCCATGGCACGGCGCGAGGACGTACTGTGGAAACGTGGGACGTGGGGAAGGAGCAAGAGTCGTTCTAACTGCTGCTTCCTTCCTTCCTTGCCGTTTCCTTCTTTCCGACTGCATTGGTACTCTGTACGAAGTTCCCAAGCACCCAGGGCACCTTCCTCGGCTGTTCCCTTTATCTTTTGGTAAGATTACTTAAGGCAAAGTATTCTCTACCTTGAGGTACTATGTAAAGTGGTATTACACTAAGGTACCTTACTCCCAGGGACATGACTAAGGTAAGGGAGGTTAAGATATGCGGCCTGGAAGACGGGGAGGTGGAAGGGCGAGGATGGATGATGCTGCGTTGCATCCCCTACGTTTCTCGGAACCTGAGCGTGAGTGCCATACCCAACCTTCGTCGACCAACGCCCAGTAGTCAGCGACTGTACGGTGGACATGTGCAGATGCGGGAGCTGGTGCAGATGCGCCACAAGGATACAGCAGGAGGGAGGGGACACACTCACCTGCACACACTAGAGAGAGTTCCGGAAGGTCAAACACGGACAGGACAGCCAGACGAGACGGGCTAAACACCTTCGTCTCTTCACTTCACAAGCACAACTCTTCCACCAGGGAGCCCACGTCTTTGACCCCCCCCCCCCCATTACCATGCTCGATATTTGGGAGCCAACAATACACAATACACATGTCTTCGAATACCAATGCTGGCCATTGGAATATCTTTTCACCCCAAGCAGACTGGAAGACAACTCATCTTACCTATCAAGCACAGTTATGACAACTCTAAGCGTCACCTCTACCACCGCTCTCTTCAGAGCTTTTGCCTATCGCCAACGCTGCGCCCAGCCAGCCCTCGCACAATGACGCTCGGAGGGTGGGGTAGGGGCCGTGAAGCTTGTACTCATCAGGTACCGATCTACTGCACACGGACCCTTGAGGCAGTCTGTTCAGGGATACGCAGCATGTCACTGGCAGGGTGACGAGACATGAACGTAACCTGACCCCAAAGCTTAAACAGCCTGGCGCCCAAGGCCCAGTAGACGGTAGTCGTGTGGCCGCGGCGACCGTGGCAGGCTTGAGGCGAGGAAGTAGGTATTTGTGTCCATTCGATCATCTGGACGATCATGATTGCTGTCACGGCGAGGGCATTGGAAGAGTTCAACGACAGACTAATCATAAACTCATCAAACACGGCTCTATCGTCAGAATGTCAGCGGGAAAACACTCGCACAAGCAACGGGAGCTTACTGTGCCTGAGCATGCCCCGAGCCTCTTGTGTTCCCTGCACTAGGCATAGCCAAGCTGTTTGTGGTGTCGAAATACAGACGTAGTCATGACAATATCTCTGCGTAAGGTACCATACTTTACGGTTTCTCTAGGCGCACTGTAAAGACCTGGGTACCTCGCCAGTGGAGGAGAGCCAAAGCTAAAAGTAAAGGGGGAGGAGACTGGGTGTGCGACAGACAAACTGCAGCTTTCGCGACCTTCGTCTACGGCGCCCTGTCTTGCCCTGAGCAGAGGAAACGAACAGCCAGGAGACAGAGACATGCGGTATGCTCCGTCGTGACTCTGATCTGCCAGCATACCATTTGCCTGACAAGTTGCTAAGTTATTTGATGATGTCAGCAAAGGGCAGACAATTAAGAGACAGTACCTTAGGAGAAAGACTGACTGATGTTAATCACTCGTCCACCAAAACTTGAGCCACATTTACCAAACGATACTTGAGTATAGCGAGGCCAAGATTAAGGAGGATCCTCTCGCTGGAATTGCTGCAAGCAACCAGGTATAAGCCGGCAGACAACGTCAGTATCGGCTGCTGCGAAAGCGAGACATGAAGCTACCTGGCTAGGGCTGGCTCCAATGGCGATGGCAACATATTACTACCTACCTGAATCTGCGCACTGCTCCGGTCACCAGTGTGACATTGAGGCATCGGAATAGAGTAGTGTAGCGCGAACAACGGACGCACGCACCTTGCTTAGCCCCCTTGGGCACAAATCCAGGGCAGCCGCTCAATGGTCTGGGTTTCTTCCGAAAGGGGCGTCGCTAGATCGGCCAGAGGAGAATAGCCAAAGGAAAAATCAAGATTGACAGAAATCAAACGGCCTGCCGCCGGGCCGGCCTCGCGATTTCTTTGTTCTATCAGGCTTCTGGCGTCGTTTCCATGCCGGCTTCCATCCTCGGCCGGCCTCCCTTCTCCCTCTCTTGCATTTGCCTCTTCTTTGCCTCTGCCTCTGCCTCTGCCACACCCACTCTGGCACTTCCCTCCTCGGGCTAGCGGCAGTCGTATGTATCACCTTCAGCTTCCTGTCCACATGTTCGTCTGCGTCCCATCGTGCCCTACTCGTGCTTTGGAACTCGATTGTTCAAGCTTTCAATCTGATGCGAGGCGGTCGGAGAGACATTCTAGAAGCTCACACGGACACGGGAGCCCGCCCCCTCGGTTTGTCAAAGCATGTCGCATCCTTGCTCCAGAAGCCTGAAGGTAAATTCAAGAAACAGACAAGCAGCATGCGCGCTACTGTCGAGTCGAGACAAGAGGCTAATTACTCTTTTCCACCTTGCACTGCTAATGGAATTGAGCTCGCGGATCGGAGATCGAGACAAGAGTGACCGTAGGACGAGGACGGCAAAAGCTGCGAAGACGACGGCGTGACCAGTGGGTGCATGTAAATGGAGCGAGTCCGGATGGAGTGCCATGGACGGGGACTTTTGTCGCATAGTACAAGATAGAACAGTTGAAGGCGAGGCGCGTGCAGGCCGCAGCAGCAAGGAGCGAAAACGACCGAAAAAGCAGACGGCCGCCGTTCGTTTCGCAGCAGGTCCATTCCTCCACTTCCAGCAGTCGACCTGGGACTCTGGGAGTCTTGGACACACTTGATCTCGTCGCTATCCCAAAGTCGGTTCAGCCTAGTACAGAAAGACGAGTGTGGGTGGACCGCCATCTCACCGCGTGTCTCAAACTTGCAGCCCGGGACCCCTGGCTCATCGGACCCGAAATGGCACGCACGGTGCACGAAACGGTCTTGGGAGGGGTAGCAGTCCACAGCGGCTGGGTGAGAGGATGCACCCGGTCAACCATGTCGGCGGCGGGTGACGGCGAAGAAGCTTGGGGAATGGTGGTCAAGGCGCCTCTCAGCGAAGGGAGATCGATGCGTGGAAGCCTTATGGAAGACGGCTAGAAGCCTGCCAAGGTTGGGTTGGTGGAGGGCGATGAACGGGGGGATTTCGCGCCGCGTGCCAGACGTGAAGTCTGACTCGGCCATTCGTGGTATGTTTATGGTGCCCGCCCAGCATCTCTAAGCTGCGAGAGTTTGTCGAACGGTCCAGCATTGGGACACGGCATATGAGGTGTGGAAGCAGGGGCCGAGATGGATTCCCGGGCTGGCTGATAATTGTCATGAAGGTTGAATAATCTGGGTGGTCGTTGAAAGGTTGTTGGAGGAGCCTGAGATCTGAGGTGGTAGACAGGAGGTGCCTGAGGGCATTTAGCTGGTCGCCTCACTGTCTCACACGTTGGTGACTAAGCCGCTTCCCTGAGCTGGAAAGTAGCAAGAAAGTGCCTTCCTCGACAACCTCTGCGCTTTCTTGGATTGCTGTTGGTTTGGATCTGGAAGGAAGGCACGCAGGTACGAGGTAGCTTAGGGAAAGTACGGAGCACCATCGCATTCTGCCTCTCTTTCTTCGCGGAGTGGATCCTCCTTCCTTTGTTTTCTAAGGTACCTATCCCCGCCGGATCTGCACCTGCTGTGGGAGATCCATGGAATTATCTACACATGCAAGATTGATGGGTCCATTTCTCTTGCCGTCATTCCTTTCTTTTTCCAACCAAGTTTGCCCTTCTTCTCCATCAACGTCTCCACGCTTTGCCCGTTGCTCTCCCCCTGGATACTAGGCAGATGTACGTAGCATTCTTCTTCACAAACAAGACTATCTCCAACCCCATCAACCAGGGCCATCGATGGACATCCAACCTCGACTCTACCGTCCGGTCTCCATCTCAGTCACCTTGTTCTACCATCTTGCCGGTGTTTCACCGCATGGTTGCTTCGGTGTCCGATGCAAGAAGGCATTCCCAAAGCTTTTATTCGTCCCGAAGTCCACAACCTCTTTTTCGGCTCAACTTTCGGCGCACACCAACCACGCGGCGTCAAGGGCCACGCAACAAAGAAGTGGACGAACCTAACCCGCGAGTAATTCGCCTCGTGCTGCTCTCCCACCACCCTCGTCGGCTCTTATCCCGATCTCCAGTCCCGCTGACCTATAGAGAGCCACTGCTTAGACTTTTGTACCCTGAAACGCGCTGTTCTCTATGCTCCAGGGCCATGGGACTAGGACTATGTGATTAAAGACCATCAACGACCATCTACATGTTGACAGGTATGGCCACAAGCTACATGTCAAGGCGCGCCTGAACGTCCGGTTAACTTTTCGCGACTGACATGACTGGCTGCACTCTTCGGTCAGTAGTTAGGGTCCGCAGTCCGATGAGCCGCAGCCTATCACAGATGCTACGCACGCGTGGCCCAGCCTTTGCAACCCTCCACGCCTTGACAAACCCGATATCTTACATCTAAAGTGTTTCCAGCTGTCAGCTATTGCTCAATCATGTCGCACGGTGTTCAGGGCATACCCCCTAGAATTATTCTTTGTCGAAATGGCCAGGGTCGCGCTGCTCTACTCCCATCGTATCGCTCTTGTTTCCTATAACGTGCCATGTACTATTATTAGCTGACTTCCTTATGGTTTAGGGACTTCTAGGGACGGGAATTTGGCTCTAGAGGAAGACCAGCTTCACAATTTCGTTACGCTTCAAGGTTATCTAGTACCCAATGCTACAACGAGCCGAGTTGCCAACAGAAGAAGCTTCGACTAAGGGCCAACAGTGGAGATAGTAGATGCATCGGTTCCTCACGTGCTTTTGCCCGCATCGAAAGCTTTCCACCGTCTCCGGACCGGTGCGGTTACATACTTCTCGACTTCAAGATTCTACGATTCGTTCAACGGCCCCTGCTTCGTGGCCCGAGCCCATCACAACGGACACAAGGGCCTTTCCGGGCACCTCTGATCGTCTTGAAACACTATACGGCTCCGGCCTCCTTCTCGAACCACGCCCAAGGCCTAGAGTTTGGATCTCTGGATGATCCCAGCCATTGGCTGACTGCAATTCTAGCTTCATTTGCTGCACCCTACTTCGGCCATCACGATAGCAAACTTTTGCAGACACAAAGATTTAGGACTTGGAGCCTTCTGAGTATACTGTGACTCCTCCGTTGCTGGCTGCCCAGGCAGTCAGGCTATATATGCTGTGTTTCTCACAGACGTAGCGGAAGGTTGTCAGCGAAGCCAAGCTCGAGGCGAATGCTATCTACTCCCTGCACAGCCATTTCATGAGATCTTACTTCGATTTGATTGACGGTGTATCCATTACTGGCACAGGAGCCCAGGGGACTCGGTAATGAAGTGGTGCAAGAGCCAAAATCGTATTATTAATTAAAGTTATAGTGTGACAAGCTCGTTCTTATTTGCTCTTGCAGCAAACATAGAACATTGAATAGCCGCGGCATCGTGCCGGTCGGTACTGTTGGTCCAGCTTCGTCTGGAGAACACCTGGACCCTTCGGGCGGTCTTCTGCCGGACGCGCGCGCGATTCGGCCACGCAATTCCATGTCGAATTTGCTTGACTCCTCCATGCGATGCGCTTGAAGTTCATGAATAAGGGCAGTCTACTCCTCCGCATATGTGGTATAGTCTCGGGCGCAGTATCCACGGCATACCCGCAGGCCGTGGTGCCTGCATAGACTCCTCTTCCGACGCCCGCAAGTTGTTGACGATGGTTGAAACAGCGATGGGTTCGACTGCGACTTCTCAAGCGAAGAGCTTATTATTGTTGACTTTTGTGTTCTGCAGCTATGGCGGGCATCGGGGGTTTACTCGATTCGGCCCGAGGTATCGCCCGGCTTTGTGCGGCGGGGAGTTCGCTCCATTGGTTGCCCGTAGTTTAATCGAAGCCCTAAACCTTTCTTTATAGGTCGAAGGGCCAGCCGGATTTGGCGTCTCGTATTCCCCGGATTTGGTTCTCAAGCAGGGGCATCTAGACGGATTCGCCCGGGCATGGAGCAG